AAAGTTTTTTTAAAAAAAAGAAAGAAAACTTAAAGGAAACAAATACAATAAAAGAAAATATAAAAGGAAATCTTTGTGACCTTAGGTTAGGCAAGGATTCCTTACATATGATACCAAAAATACCTCCCATAACAGAAAAGTGTCAAAATTAATAACTTCTATTCTTTGAAATACTCTTCAGATATGAAAAAGATAAACCACAGACTGAAAAAAAAATCTGCAGATTAGGTATCTGATAAATTAGTTTTTCCCTGGTGGCTCAGACGGTAAAGCATCTGTCTGCAGTGTGGGAGACCTGGGTTCGACCCCTGGGTTGGGAAGATCCCCTGGAGAAGGAAATGGCCAACCACTCCAGTACTCTTCCCTGGAAAATTCCATGGATGGAAGAGCCTGGTAGGCTACAGTCCATGGGGTCACAAAGAGTTGGACACAACTAAGCGACTTCACTTTAAAAAAAAAAAACTAGATATACAACTGTCAAGAAATAAGAACCCAATGCTTAAAGATGTTACTAAGGAGAAATGAAAGCATATGTCTGCATAAAGATATATACATGAATGTTCAAAGCAGCTTCATTTTTAACAGTCAAACACTGGAGCCAATCTAAACTGCCGTCAATAGGTAAGTGGATAAGCAAAACCATGAAGAATCTGCCTTTAATGCAGGAGACCACGGTTCCATCCCTGGGTAGGGAAGATCCCCAAGAGAAGAAAATGGCTACCCACTCCAGTATTCTTGCCTGGAGAATTCCATGGACAGAGAAGTCCATGGGTCACAAAAAGTCAGACATGATTGAGCAACTAACACTTTCACTTCTTTTCCATGCAATAAAATACTATTCAGCAATAAAAGAACATACTAATACACACAACATGAATTTCAGAACATTTATGCTGAGTTAAAGAATCCAGAACACATGTATATACCATATTATAACCCCATTTATTAAAAATTCTAGAAAATTAATCAACTTCTTGAAAAATCCTATTTAGTTTTCAAGACTCAGTCCTGAGTCTTGACAACTTCTTTTTGACAACTAATCTACAGTGAAGGAGGTCACAGTTGCCTGAGGACAGAAACAGAGGGAGGAGAAAAGGAAACTTTGCGGATGAAGATCTGTTCATTACTTTGATTGCACTATAGCTTCATAAATATACACATAATTTACCGAAGTTATCAAATTGTACAGTTCAAATACATGCAGTCTACTGAATGTCAATTATATCTCGAAATTACTAAGTTTTTTTAAAAAAGAAAAATACACCCAAACTTCTCATTACACTACCCTGTTTTATATCCTTTAATATTTCCATCAACATCTAACAAGGTCAAGTCCAAATTTCTAAGTATGGTATACAAAGAGTTTTTGTCTACATTTTCAAATTCCTCTCATTACTCTCCCCATATCCTTTTTCAGTTCAAGCATTTCATGCTGCATGATTGTTCTCTGTATATGTCTTTGTGCATGTAATATTCTCTTTTCCTGAAACCACCTGCCAGAATCATCTTCTTGAAGATACCCTATTTATCTTTCAAGACCTAGACCTCAAACATCCTCTCCTTTTTGAAATCTTTCCTGAAAAATACTCATCCTCAATTCCTTAACCAGTCAGAACTGGCTGCTTCCTCTTTAGGTCTCAACAGTGTATATCTGTTGTGCTGTTCAGTCGCCCAGTCCTGTTTGACTCTTTGCAACCCCATGGATTGCAGCATGCCAGGCCTCCCTGTCCCTCACCATCTCCCAAAGTTTGCCCAAGTTCACGTCCATCACATCGGTGATGCCATCCAGCCATTTCATCCTCTGACGCCCTCTTTTCCTTCTGCCCTCAATCTTTTCCAGTAACAGGGACTTTTCCAATGAGTCAGCTGTTCACATCAGATGATCAAAATACTGGAGCTTCAGCTTTAGCATCATGCCTTCCAGCAAGTATTCAGGGTTGATTTCCCTTAAGATTGACTGGTTTGATCTCCTTACTGTCCAAGGTATTCTCAGGAGTCTTCTCCAGCACCACAGTTCGAAGGCATCAAATCTTGGTGCTCTGCCTTCTTTACAGTCCAGCTCTCCCAACGGTACATGACCACTGGGAAGACCATAGCCTTGACTATACGGACCTTTGTCAGCAGAGTATATACCGGCTGGGTCTGTCACAGCCTTCCTGCCAAGAAGCAATTGTCTTCTGATTTCATGGCTGCAGTCACCATCCACAGGGATTTCAGAGCCCAAGAAGAGGAACTCTGTCACTATATACATAGTGTATATCTACTTGCACTAATTCTTTATATATCTACCTCTTTTCTCACTATGCAAAAGTAATGTGTATATTTGTACTTAGAACCCTAATGCCCAACATGGCAGGTGGTACAAAATAAACACAAAATAATGTTTGTTAAATCAGACTGCAATGAATTAAACTGATTTTCAATTTTGTCATTATCCAGACAGAAGGTCATGATTTAGATCTAGTTACTGAGTGTGACTCAAGGGCTTCCCAGGTGGTGTTAGTGGCAAAGAACTTTCCTGCCAATGCTGGAGATACAAGAGACCTAGCTTCAATCCCTGAGTTGGGAAGATCCCCCAGAGAAGGGCATGGCAACCCACTCCAGTATTCTTGCCTAGAGAATCCCTTGGACAGAGGAGCCTGCAACCCACAGGGTTGCAGAGAGTTGGACACAACTAAAGTAACTAAGCACACACGGTGGCTCAAAACAAGGAATATGTTGACAGCTTCAGCTTTGATGATCTGATGGTGCAGAAATATTTTAACATATTTCCAGTGTTCAGGAGAGTAGAGCTATTACTGTATCAAATATAGCCATCATATACCCTGAGGTGTCATATCTTAACATTTTTCCAAATGTACTTCAGATTTTTTTTCTTCTGTGGTGGCAGGGGCAGTCCAACATTATAAAGTGCCTTAGGTATTCCTCCCAAGACAACCACTACTCTGAAACTGTTTATCACACCCATGTTGTGTATGCTCTTGAACAAAATATTTTTACTTTTTAAAACTTTATATTGTGGTATAATGGATATATCTTTCCCCATCTTGCTCTTTCCACTAAACATTATATTTTTGAGATTTACTCATGCTGATACTTGTAACTCTAGTTTAGTCATTTAAATTGGTATATCAGCTTTCCAGTATATGAACAGTCACTTTATCAATTCTTTCTACAGCACACTTAGTTTGCTTCTAATTTTTCACCATGACAAACAATGTAGCTTATGATGTTAGACATGTCCTGTGAACCTACAAATTCTCTAAGAAATTAACAAATTAGTCTCCAAAGTATACTGATTATTACTTCCATTGGCAGTGTATAAGAACTTCTAATGCTCCACATCCTTACCAACAGTATCAACAAAATTTTTGCCAACCTATCGAGAATTAGTATTTTCCCTGGCTTAAGTTTCATTTCCCACCAGTGAGACTAAATATCATATTGATAACTCACATTTTCTGTATTTATGTATAGCCTTTGACTTGTTTCCTATGGATTTACATTTATATACATAGTCAGTAACCTCAGATATGCAGATGACACCACCCTTATGGCAGAGAGTGAAGAGGAACTAAAAAGCCTCTTGATGAAAGTGAAAGAGGAGAGTGAAAAAGTTGGCTTAAAGCTTAACATTCAGAAAACTAAGATCATGGCATCTGGTCCCATCACCTCATGCCAGTGGAAACACAGTGGAAACAGTGTCAGACTTTATTTTTCTGGGCTCTAAAATCACTGTGGATGGTGACTGCAGCCATGAAATTAAAAGATGCTTACTCCTTGGAAGGAAAGTTATGACCAACCTAGATAGCATATTAAAAAGCAGAGACATTACTTTGCCAACAAAGGTCTGTCTGGTCAAGGCTATGGTTTTTCCAGTGGTCATGTATGGATGTGAGAGTTGGATTGTGAAGAAAGCTGAGCGCCGAAGGATTGATGCTTTTGAACTGTGGTGTTGGAGAAGACTCTTGAGAGTCCCTTGGACTGCAAGGAGATCCAACCAGTCCATCCTAAAGGAGATCAGCCCTAGGTGTTCATTGGAACGACTGATGCTGAAGCTGAAACTCCAGTACTTTGGCCACCTCATGCGAAGAGTTGACTCATTGGAAAAGACCCTGATGCTGGGAGGGATTGGGGGCAGGAAGAGACAGGGACGACAGAGGATGAGATGGTTGGATGGCATCACTCAGTCGATGGGCATGAGTCTGAGTAAACTCCGGGAGTTGGTGATGGACAGGTAGGCCTGGCGTGCTGCAATTCATGGGGTCGCAAAGAGTCGGACACGACTGAGCGACTGAACTGAACTGAACTGATGCAGTCTATGTTGATCCATCAATACAAATATACAGACCACATACATCACACAAATAAAAAATTAAGACTACCTCAACTCTCAATTTCATACTTAAGAAATATGTAGCTTAGTTTCTTCCTCTGTAGAACAGAGATAACAACCTCACAGAAATGTTACAATGACTAAATGAGTTAATGCATACCTAAAGTGCTTGGAATAGTTCCTGGAACATAGTATGTGCTGTACAATTACTAACAAGTATTATTTGTTTTATAAATCTTCTGCTAGTAAAACTGGTTAAAGCCTTCTTTTCACACTCTGGCTTAATTGTTTACTTTGTTAAAGTGTGTTTGTTGAAGACATTCTAAATTTTTAATGGAGACAATCTTTCCTTTCCTTTGATCTGTTCTTAAAACATCCTTCCCTCCCTAATGCTAATATGTTTCTTTATGATCTGGTTCTAACCCTCACTTTCATATCTTGATTTAATATCTCACTGAAAAAAATTTGGTATACTCGTTTAAAATCATATTAAAATATACTTCTAAACAATTTAAAAATAATTCTGTTCCCTAAACAAAAATTCTATTTTTTTATTATAATACACAGGTGTTCATAACCAGAGAGCAGAGCTACATCTTAGTATAAACAAGCAAAACTTAAAATACACAGCTATATATAAATTAAATAAATGTACAATTCTTACCCTATGACATCTTTCAAAGGCTTGTTTGGTTTCTTGCAAAAGATTAACCACCACTTCCTGGGACAGGAAAGTCTCTCCATGAGTGTCGATACTTGGCCCCAGTGGTAAGTTGGTACGCTGTCTAATTCTCTCTTTCAGATCTTGAATACTAGTGCATAATAGAAACAAATGAAAAAAGAAGACTACTATACATAGATTTCAATTTCAAGTACTCTCAAACTTAGTATACATGAACTAATAAAAAGAAGAAAAATGGACCAATAGCAGGAGACCTAAAACTTCTGATTTCAATCAGTAGTTCTGTCAAGTGAAGCAAGCATTAATCTCTAAATAGAAGACTGTCATATGAAAAGTGAGGAGATTTGCAGTTATTATCTCTAAAGTCTCTTTTAGCTCTACAATTCTGACTCGATAGGTAGCTCTACAGTTCTGACTCAATAGCCAAAAACTCCTTGTTTGGTTTCCTTAGGAAGTAGGCTTTTCAAAGTAAGCTAGTATTTCAGATAATTAAATGGCCCCGCTTAAAACAAACTTTGAAATTTTAAAGCTTTTTAAATATACTAACTACCTAAGCATATTGTACATTTCTTTATTACTATTAAACATAATTTAGCTTTTCTAAATGACTGAGGGTTATTAAGAACATTTATTATATGTACAGAAGGCTAGATTACTTTTGTTCCTATTAATAGAATATATAGCTCCAGACTATGAACTTAAAAAAAAAATTCTTATGGCTGTTTTTTAGCTTTTTTCTTTTACTTGCTACTGCCTTTCAGATGTCACTTCTTATTCCTAATTATAAGCTCTCCATGATAATTATTTAATATATTAACAAGCTGGGAAATAAGAAGCTGATTTAGCTGAATGCATATTATATGAACCATCAACTCTGATGGTTCACAAAAGTCATTTTGATTCATCCTAGAATCAACTAAATTCCAGATAGGTAAAATCTAGATTACTGAGTTGCCACAAATTCTTATAGCAAATCATTTTATTTTCTTCTAGGATATGAGTAAATTCAGATTTTAATGTATTACTTAAACAAGTTCATGTCCAAGTCATTTAAAAAGCTCAGGGTATCAATTTGCAGGGGTTTTTGTTCTTTTTAACCACACCTGCAACAGCAGCAATAAAATAATTTACTTCCTAATTAATAACCTGGAATAATTAACTCAGTCTGAAAAAAGGAAAGGAGGGAGGATGGGAGGAACTCTTTATGGTACTGGTATTATGTTTTACATTTTAATAATGTTTTATTAGAATATTTCAACATGTGGCTCAAAAGACAGGATTTGATGAATGGTATAAAAAAAACTGAATTAAAAGAATTCTTCACAGAAAATTCTAATGACTATCAATATTTCACAAGTTGTCCAAATATAAAAAGGTTTTTAATATCTTTAGTTTTAACTTTAACATTTAACAAAAACACTTACCCTCCTGTGCCAATGGATCTCTTTTGATGGTTTTTTGAATCATAATAGCGCTGTAGGATCATAGCACTTCTGGTTTTCAAATAGTTAGTCTCTATTTCAATGTAGCTCTCCAAATAGGAAATGAAAATGGACTTGATAAGCTTAGACAAGAAAGTCTGTTTATCAGTACCTAAGTTAAACTCCATCAACTTGCTGGAAAGATTTGTGGTTCTTTTCATGGAAAAGAGGGGAAAAAGATAAATGTATATTTTAGGTATAGTAATAATATTAAGAAATACATATTTTTACAATGTGACTTTTGAAAAACTTACATTAAACCACCATTTCTTAAACCCTGGGAAGTTACTCAGGATGCAGAGAGCAACTGTATATGGTTATATATTTTAAGTAGAATGTATATTACAAATAATATCATGGTTTTGAAAACTGCCATAAACTCCTAGAGACAACTCAACAAGAGGAAACAAAGGCAACCACCAACCAGTCTAGAAAAGGCAATGATGGCAGAATGGCTTCAAGTATGCCATTCATGACATGGTACCAAGTCAAAATACTTCCTCTGTTCATTCTCTTATCTAAACTTGCCTCTAATTTTCTGTTTCTCACTGCTGAAGACAAACTCACAATAGTGCTGCTGTTGAAACAGACTTCCTGATTATAGTTACTTTTGAAAACCCTCTTCTCAAAATGACAATGAAGAAAAGCAACAGGATTGGAAAAAAAACTCCACATAAAGCTTCTACAAAGTATAACTGCCATTTACAAAAACACAAGACAAATTTTCACATCAGACTTAAGTCTGAAACTGTCATTTGTTAAGAATTTGTCACTCCTTTTCTCAACTTCTAAAGCTTTAACTGAAAATAAATGTAATTATTACTCATTCTTAAAAAAAAAATTAAATGAACTAGTTTACAATTAAGATAAAAAACATAGTTCTCAAGTCTTAGTTTAAACAAGGTTTTATACTTCATTAAAGTATATTAACATAAAGCATAATATCTAATAGTTAACATGCTAAGAAAGATACTCTTATACAATACTAGTCTATATAGCCAAGTAGTTAATGCTAAAAGCTATACTGCTATCTGACAAACTGTTATTTAAAAAACACCTGAATACTTCCCAACTTTCTATTTGAAGAAAAGAAAATGTGAGATATTACTATTTTCTGGTAATTAAAAATATACCTTGTGTATAAATCATAGAGACTTTTGAGATACTGCTCTGCATCAGACTTCCAACATTCTTGTAACTGGTCTTTCACAAAGCTCTAAAAAGAAAAGTCAACATTCTGTTAATTAAGTAAATTTTAAATTATATAGTCAATATTTTTTTCCTCTAGAATTACTCTACATTCTTGAACTGTTCTGACTTAAAATCCAGTGGAAAAGGCAATGCAGAAGAAATAGACCAATATAAAAAAAATTAGAAAATAGGTTTTTAGTTTACTGCTTCTCATATTTACTTGTACATTTATATCAGCGTTGGGATTAAGCATTAAGAATCTCAAATATCTTGTCTTTTGAAAAAATCCCCCAAAACAACACTTGAAGCTATATCAATATCATCAATTCTTTAAAGCAGCATTTCCCAAACTGTAGTCTAAGGAACACTAGTGTCCTTTGAGACACTAAGAGACGTTACCATAAAATTGGGAAAGGCAGTACATTACATTTCCACTTCTAGAGGATCACAATACATATTAGTACCTTTAAAGGATACTAAAAGTCATGTTTTTAAAACAATATTTATTTAACACTGCTGAATCCACTGGTAAACAGTTTAGGAAATGTTGCCTTAAAGTGCAGAGCTATGGAAGTAAAGGCTGTAAACAAAACGTTCAGAGCTTTTTCTTTTCATGTCAATGCCATATGATAAAAAGTTCTACAGATCTTGTAATTCTTGTTCACTAAATTTTACTTTACTAAGGTAAAATAAGGTAAGCAATGTCAATGCTAAGTATCATTCTTAGCATTTCAAAAATGCTATCAATTGGTCGAGGTGAGAGCCCAGTGAATATTAAAATCTGAGGCTAATCTGTCACACCTGTTACTACTACTATTGATACACACGTAATTTCAAACACATGCTCTGATGACCATGAGTGGCACCTTTTAATATTTTGTTTCAAAGCTTGACACTGTCACTCCTTTCCCCTATACTTAATAAGTGAATTCCTGTTCCTAAGAATACTACACAAATACACACCGAGGAAATAAACTCAATTTTTAAAAACTTTTAAAACAGAGGGTAAAAAACACATATTGTCTTAAGAACTACTTAGTCACTGTTTAAAATTACCTGTAGTTTGATTTCAAATACATTTTGAATAAGTTTAGCCAGTACTGTTTCTGGATTACTAAAGATATCTCCAACTTGTTTGTTCACCCGTTGACACAGTATTGCTGCATCTTCAAATATATCGTTTCTCAAGTAAGCACCCTAAAGAGTAGAGGAATTTTATATAATGAATATATAATTTAAAATGCTTTTTAAAACACAAATTAGGATAAAATAAAATCAAATGAAGTGTACTGTTATGTTACCTCCTGGCACTGCTTTATATAAACATCAACACAATGAGAATAACCCTATGAAGAAGAGAGAAATACACATCACTGTTTTGGTTAAGTTATAACAACAATAACAACGTCAATAAAAGAGGTATTATATATAATAAAGCTATCTCTATGCCTCAATAAATGGCCAGCAGTAACAGCTACTCTCTGGTTTCTGTATTCCAACGGACACTTAAGGTCAAGCCTTTTTGTTTTGAATTATTTCATAAAATGTTTGACTAAAAAAACCAATAAATAGTCAGAAAGGAGACAAGACAATTTTCTACATCAAACTATATAAAAATCCAGTGATAGTTTTATTATTAATAGTATTAATATTAATAATAAAAAGTATTAATAGTACTGAATATAAGATCCTTAAGACCTAGGATTTAATACCATTTCTGGAGAAGCATAAAAAATATACATTCAAATTATTCCAAACAATGAAAATTAACACTGTGATACACTAAAACAACGGGGCAAAATCACAGACTGTAATACACCCTGGTGGCTCAGTGGTAAAAACCTGCCTGCCAATGCAGGAGACACGGGTTCAATCCCTGGGTGGGGAAGACCCTCCAGAGAAAGAACAGCAACCCACTCTATATTCTTGGCCTGGGAAATTCCATGGACAGAGGAGCCTAGCGGGTTATAGTCCATGGGGTCACAAAGAATCACAACTTAGTGGCAAAACTACAACACACAGAATTCACATCATCTCTACATTCTTTAAGACTAATCTGCACTTTAAGTTTCTCTGTGCACCTTAAAATGAAGTAAGACAGCTGCTACTTCTCTCATTCTGGAGGTTTCACCTCTTCTTTGAGCACCAGTGAACTCCTGAATCAACTGGCATTCTAGATCATGGTATTTACCTAAAAACAGAAAGTCATTCAGCTACAATGAGACAAAGCACACCTGTTATTTGCAAGTGTATGGTTTCTTTACAAATATAATGACTATGAATCTAGCTTTCTTTTAAAAGAATTGTACAGGTAGTGGAGCAAAACCCTATAATATACTAAGGTATATAAATCTATATTTTCAACACACACAAAAAATCTTCCCAACTGGCAAAACAGATCAGCTCTTATAGTCTGACTTCCATTTACAACTATGTAAAAAAAAACAGCTGGCTGGGAAAAACCTCCTGGATGTCATTTCTGAAAACAAGAGATAGGAAGAGTAAAGAGACTTTAGAGAAAGAGTAAAGAGAAATACCAAAGTCTTTACTAGAGTTCAAATGACTTTACCGTGAACAAAGGCAGATTCAAAACCAAATAACACCTTAAGACAACATATGGTATTTGATTCACTACATTCTTGGGGCTATTACGGTACACTTTTGGCAAAACAGGTGATTTTTGAACTTCAGTGAGTTCCTGAATAGTGACTTAGAGCCTGCAAATATAGTGGCTATTCAAGAAATCTGGAATGATCTGCCTGAAATACAATCTAGAGAACAAGATTCAAGCTACCATGTAAGGAGTTAAATAAGTACTGAAATGGTCTTATGAGCTTTTTTTTTTTTTTTAAAAGACAGACTGGTATGTATGCATACAAAAACAATGTCTAAGATATGTTGTTAAAAACACAAGGTATCAAGCTATTTGTATAAGATGCCACCAATTTTAAAATACATGGGGACCACAGAAAAAAATTCTACATATTATATACATGATTTATGTTCTATGCTTATATCAAGATATCCATAGAATACTATGGAAGAATACACAAGAAACAGATAATATTTAATAGCTGTTTCAAGGAAGAGGAATCAAATTCACGGATGGGGTGGGAGGATGACATTGTTCCCACTCTCTTCTTTTACAATTTTCCTTCTTTTATAAAAGTAGTTTGCTCACCTATCCAAAACAGTTAAATAAATAGAACCCCACTTACTTGCAATTTTAGATTTAACTTCTGAAAATCTGCAAGATAAAAACCAATGATGAAGTTCATTATTTGTGACAAATGTACCATAGTAATGTAAGATATTAATAAAAGGGAGAATGAGGATACATAGGAACTCTCCATACTAAATATCTTCATAAAGGAAGGGAGGGAGGGAGGGGAGGGAGGAAGGGAGGTGAGAGGGAGGGTGTGACCGAGGAAGGAGGGCAAAGACAAGGCCAGAGGGGAGAGAGTACTGACAGAACGCATGCCATTTAACAAAACTGAAACTGGGCAATTCAGATGGAGTATCTAGTTCTCACGAGGAAATTCACACTGAATAACCAACTCCCTTTTAAAGGGGGAGGAATTCTGAACGAGACATTAATTAACTGAGCCAGTCCCAACAACTGAGTTATTGTCCCTACTCATATTCATTGCCATTTTAAATTCACTTGATATTTGTCTCTTTTCCCTTCTGTTGGGATTTTTTCACACTAAGTTTCATTACTGTCACTTAAAAGAAAATAATAAGTATATATAAATGAGCTATTTTAAACCTGGAAAAATAAAACAGAAGCCATAAAAAGGACCCCGTGTGTGCCTAGCATTCAACCTCTGCAAATTCAGAAATTAAAATAACAATTAAAATACACTAGAACTTTTTCAAGTCATAACTATCAAAGGGGAATCACAACATGGAAAACTAACACTGAAAGATCTCACGCAATTAGTTTAAAATGATAGGTGAGGGGATGGCAAAAAAGATGCCAAAGATAGATAAAGAGGGTAATAATTCAAACAGCTATACAAAATTGATATGGGCTTCCCAGGTGGCTCAGTGGTAAAGAATCTGCCTGTCAAGCAGGAGATGTGGGTTTGAATGAACCCTGGGTTGGTAAAATCCCCTGGAGATGAAAATGGTAACTCGCTCCAGTATTTGTGCCTGGGAAATCCCATGGACAGAGAAGCCTGGCGCGCTATAGTCCTCGGGGTCACAGAGAGTCAAACACGACTTAGCAACTGAGCACACAGACAGCAAAACTGATATATCAAAGTCATGGTGGATCACAGAGTACAGAACACAGGTTAGGTTATATCGATCTCTGTGGGGAAATTTGATTAGGATGTAAATTCAATTCTAAGGCTTGGGAGAGAGGTTAAAACAAAACTATAAGAGAAGTATGTAACTGAGAAGTGGAAGAAGATGAGTATATGTCTGATGTTTGTATGGGTGGGAGAAAACTATCATGTACCCATTGTAAGCCATACATTTTATCCATTTAAGTAAATGGTTTAACCCTGAAATAAAAGTTTTTTGTGGGTGACATTAAAAATCATTACTTATAATGTTGGAAAAGCATGAGAGTATCAATAATAGCTAAATGATTATTACTGCTAACTATGATGATGCAAAGTTCAAAGTAAAATAAAATATATTTACAGGTAGGGAATTCACTTTCACTCTATGTTTGGGACATAATGGGCAAACTTTAAGTATAGTAGTAATACATTTACATTCTACCTGTACCCAAGGATCTTCAAGTACCACAAAAGGAGTAAGATACATTATCTGTTTTAAGAGAAGATATGTTTTTCCAGATATTTAAATGGGAGAACCACTATTAATAAAATTAATTAAAGAGTCTGACATTCCATGGACTAAAGGAAATCACGAAAGAATTTTCTTCTCAGTGAAGCTTCTTTAAGGATGAGACTATTAATACCTGACTTAGCAACAGTCCTAAGGCCTGGCATTAGCAACAGTCCTAAGGCCTGGCATCTAAAACAGGACTTTGTAACCTTAAGGTCCCTAGGAAGGAGTCTTCAGATAGGATAAATGGTCTAAAACTCCAAGAAACTGTATACAACAGTCTGTTTATCTGAACTTTTTAAAGGCAATTCTATAGCTTTTACCAGCTTTTCAGAGGTGTCCAAGACTCCCAAAAGCTTAAGAACTCTCAACTAGAGGAAAAAGCAGCTCAAGGAACAATGTTTAATCTTTCTCTGCCCTTCTACACTGTTATCAAAGTCCAAAAAAAAAAGAAAATTCAAAATGTCCTTTGTCAATTTCAGAATTCTCCATCAATTTTTTTCTAAAAGAAAAAGGATTGAGATTATTTCAACATATATCATTAAATTTAGTTGCTAAGAGACCACATTTTTTCAATCAACTATTGCATACTGTATCTTTCAAATGCAGTCCTCAGTAAGTTCTTGTTGAATTAATGAGTAAAATAATACAGGTAAAAGTACAATTTTATTCTACACATTACACACCATATAGCCAAATTAACTCTTGAGAAATAAACTTGCCTATCAAAAGGTAACTCTTGGGCGATTAGGTGCAACTTCTGAATGATGTCTGCTGCCTCCTTTATCTATTAAAAAATAAAAGCAATAATTAAAAAAAAACTTTATATGTATCAAAAAATAATTTTGTATTTAAAAATAGTAATATTCTCCTATGTATGTCCACAGACCCTCACCCAAACAATTTTAAGATACACAACAAAATCTTGTGAGCAACAGGAATACATCTGGGGTATCACCAATAATGAGTCACTGAAATATAAGCATTTGTCATTATGGTATTGAAATCTTGTGATTTTATAATGCCACAATCCCTTCCCAATGAAACCTGCAGTTCAAGTCTACTCTGAAAAAATTCAAATAATTGACTGCCAAAAGTGAGTTTAAGTATCTTCTGAGCTTACGAACAGAGAAACAAGATTTATGAAAATAATTCAGACCATACTGGTGCAAACACCCCACTTTAGGTGAAGAAAATAACAAAATGCTTGTCATTTAATGAACATATCAAGTTTTAAAACGTGTTAACATGAAGTCTTCTGAAGAATATGATACAAAAATGTACTTATTCAAGCTGTGTAACTAAAGGATTTAGACAAGGGGTCTAAAATTTATTAAATGCAGAAATTTGTGCTTATTCATACTAATGTATAGAGAGTTATATACGCTAACTTTTGAAAACAAATTTCAAATAAGCATTGAGTTCAATTTTGGCACACCTTTAGTAACTGATTTTATCATTCACTTTCTTTAACACTAAGAGAAAAAAAAAAGAGAGAGAGAGATTCCTACAAACGTTGACAGAAGAGCTGAGAACCTTCAAACAGACCTTTCGAAGTGAGTACTCATGTGATGTCTGGCAAACAACAGTGGAAAACAAGAGCAGGGCCAAATGATACTGCTGATGCCAAACAAGAGTGAATATAGATAGCATTTCTGCTTCAGCTACTTCTCTCCTAGCTAGCATGTCACTCCAGATGCTCACTCTAATTCTGCTGCACATAAGCACAGATTAACACTGCAAGATCACTTTTCAACATGCCATTTAGTGGTACTAGCAAGGTCCGCCATTTTCTCCTCACCAATACTCCCTTCAGAAGGAACCTGCCAGGTACATGCTTTATGTTTCCATCAGGAGTTTGTTCTTGTTAAAAGAGGATGTCCCCATTATGCAGTGTTTGCAAACTTCACTTAATATAGGAAGAAGTACAGCAGAGTAAATAATATATGATTTTATGGAATTACCGAATTATTTTACAAAAACTATTTCATGCACAAGTAGTTCTTAAAGTCATCCATCAGTTAAAATATACTCTAGGCACAGTTTTCAAAAACCACAATCTAATAACCTGTTTACACCTGCTACTGATGTCAGCGTGAGGTGAGAGACCACCCAATGCTAACATATTAAAGATAATCAGAGTCACCAGGCATTATCTACATGGAGAACATTAAGTTGTGATTCTAAGAAGAAAAACAACTAACATACTTTGTAAAGATGGAGGTAAGAAGAAATACATACTATAGACATAAAATGTTTTTTTTCCCCCAGAGAAGAAAATGAGAAGATTCTGAAAAGCAAAGATTAAAAAAAAACCAGCAAAAATGACTATGGAGCAGGAAGAAAAAGGACTAAGATATGTTATCTTTTCCCATTCTAATTCCTCCCACAATCACACACCGACATGGGTGATTTTCCTTTTCTTTCCACTGGGAAGGTAGCTGGTACACAGTGCAGAAACTTAAACAGCAGAAATTTACCTAATAATTAGCAATCTAGTACCATATATGAGGTTCCTAAGTGTACTTAACTGTGACAGTACCAGGGCAAAAATAATGACTCAACAGTAACCCAAAATCTGTGGGAGACATGAGAGAAAAACAAGACAACTGTGAAGAGGACTAAAGCATAAGAAAAAAAGAAACAAGATGAAAGAAAATGAGATATGGGAGAGAGTGAAGCAAAGTAAAGAAAATAAGAGGAATTAGCTTAAACACTGTGAAGTCTGTACTTATTCCTCAAAAATTAGACAGCTAGTGACCAAGTGAATGAGGTAGCAAGGATATGAAGATTTATTCATCTTTCAATGAGAATCTTAAAAATTAAGAGACAACAGTAACATCATGAAATACACAATTACTTGAGGATAACTAAAATGTTTAAAGTGTAAAGAAGATAATTTCATCATATAAAACATTATAAGCAATACAAATCAGGTTAAAATATGTGTGCAATCACTATCAACCTCCTCACTATTATATCAGGTTTTAGGGATCTACTTATTTGTAACCTAATATATATGCATAACAAGCCTGAACTTTTTATGTCTTTCTAGAATGCCACAATATTCATCATTGAATTCAGCTGAAAGTAAACTTCTTGAAAACCAGGGCCAATGTTACTTGATTTTGCATAGTTCTGGTGGCTCAGACAGTAAAGAATCTCCCTGCAATGCACAAGACCTGAGTTCGATCCCTGGGCGGGGAAGATCCCCTGGAGAAGGGAATGGCTGCCCAGTTCAGTATTCTTGCCGGGAAAATTTCATGGACAGAGGAGCCTGGTGGGCTACTGTGCATGGGATCACAAAGAGTGGGACATGACTGAGCGATTAACCCTTAGCATGATATGGAGAGTATTAAATCCTCAGTGATGTTATTTAGAGATGAAAAAATAAAAACAGATGGATGTGTGAGTGATTGAAACATTCTATACTTAACTACTTTCATCTTGTGCCCCACAAGATCTTCCATACAAAGAAACAATACTCTACAATAAATAGTAAAATCATTCTTTTTCATTTAAAAAAATATTATGTGGCACTAGTGGTAAAGAATCTGCCTGCCCATGCAGGAAATGCAACAGATGCAGATTTGATCCCTGGGGTGGGAAGATTCCCTGGAGAAAGAAAAGGCAACCCATTCCAGCATTCTTATCTGAGAAATCCCGTGGACAGAGAAGTCTGGTGGGCTACAGTCCATAGGATCGCAGAAGAGTAGGATACAACTGAGCATACACACACACACACACGTGTAATCAATTTTAAAATATTCACTTTTCTCTAGATTCTAAATGGCTGCCTTGAGCTGCATGAAATAAACAGACCAACTCGCACTGGGTAAAATATCTGCATTTTGTTTATAACAAAGCATAAATATACTCTACAATCCAACAGGTATAATCCAAGGTAACCCAAGGTATAAGACTTGAATTACATACAACTTTATATATATATAGAACAATTTTAAAAATACATGTAGGTATTAATATATACTTTTATAATACATCAGAAATATGTATGTTTCATGTAGGAAACAAAACAAAAACATTCAAACAAAACAAAACTGCACCCTGAAAAAGAGTTTGGTGTTCAAGCCCTGTGTGTGTGTGTGTGTGTGTGTGTGTGTGTGTGTACCACATGAATGTATAAAAGTTAGACATTGCCAATGTTTTACAAGTGTTTAGGTATGATTAAATTCTTGATGTTAATCTTATCAGCTCTACTTTACATTATAAATATAATTCCTGGAACTCATTATTTAAAATACTGTCTTTTCTATAGAGGAATTTTCTCTACACATAAGCATTTCTTTCAAAGATCTCTAAAAATTATAAACTCTATAAACCTATATATTTCCTACTCACAAAACAATGTGTTGCTTAATTCAAAGTGAACTTCAATACAACTTAGCTTTTAACATTCCACTACCTGAGATGTCCCATGGAAAATATTCTGGAAGATTGTATTCAACATATTAATAGACAATGTTATTAGTATGTGCATATACTATCCATAAGAATGTCTTTTTCATGCACTTTAAAATTTTTTCCCCCTGAGGGGAAGAAAAGGAGCTGAACAACCTTCTCCCAAGATTGTAGAGTAACCAATACTATACAACCTTAGACCAGGATTAAGTGACTAGTGCTATGAAAAAGATTAACATGAATAATTAATTCAGATTTTTCAATTCTTTTTGATTCTGAACTATGCTTTAATTTTTATAAAAGAACTTTATTCAAGTAACAAAAACTAGAAGCTCTGAATTCCTTGCACAGAAATATACTTCAGTTTGTAAATGATTGAGGGTCACACCACCCCCTCACCCAAGGGAATATGACTATTAAATTCTGTTAATATTAAAAGTCAATTATGAAAAAATATACTTATTAACATAGTTAACTCAGTATTTCTAAACCATACACATTTCATAAACAAAATGCCAGGCAATCCAACTAAAAATCTGAATATAAATTTTGTTGGCAAGTGTATTTTTCAGAATAAAGACTTTTAATAAGTCAGCTACTCAGTGATTTGAAGTCTGACTGTGGAAAGCAGCAATTGTAGTTCATAATTAGAGCATTGTTAGCAATGTTATTATATGCCTTTATCCTTCTGACAGTGCTCACCTTTTCAGAATTTGTAAAAACATCAGATTTCAGTTCTCCATCTAGAAACTCATTGAAGTATTTCATCAACTTCTGAGCCTCTACTGCCCGTTGTCTTGGTGTGTTTACCCCCTCCAACTGGTCTCCAAGGTGACAGACTTTGGTTGCTACATAGCTGATGTGCTCATCAAGTTCTTGGAAATGTTGGAAGGCAACCTAGGAGAAACATGCATAAGCATAAAATATAATCAGAGAACCCAGATTAACTATTAATACTATTATTATTACCAAGGGGAATTTGCATTAGAAGTATTTTGAATCTATTACTTTAACTACTTAAAAATACATTATCTTATGTAAATTAGAGTTTATTAAATATTTTCTAAATATTTAAAATCTATATATTCTAAAATCTGTAAATATTTTTTATACAGGCTTAAGTGAAGGAATCTAAACATATGAAAACTGAGTAGAATGCTAATCTCTAATACTAAAGAACAAACAACCCCTACAAGGCAACAATGCTAAACATGCTCTTCTAACTACACTTATAAAGGTCAATTAAGTTCCACATCAGGCCCAGAATGTGAAAGAGGTTCAGAGGTTCCTTATTAAGTCTAAGGCCTAAGAAGTAAGAATGGCTAAGAAGTTTGGCCTGTGTACCCCAGAGTCAGCCTAATGGTCCAGTTTTACTCCAAAATGGATTGAGAAAGAGTTCTGCATCTGCTTTTCCCAGTTACACCAGCATTCTCATTAGGGTATCTGCCTCACGACTTCTGTGAAACTTCCCAGACCAGGTTTCCTCTAGGGAAAAATCTGATCCAGGCAATAGCTGGTCTGGTATTATTATTTTGCTTTATGATTAAATGAGAATGCAAATAGACACCTAAATATCCAAGCTAGTCATGACTTTCTAAAAATACTGGTCTGCTGAGGTATCATTCTTAAAAATTTGCATTGTTAAGAGAGGAAGCAAGGACCACACTGTACTGAATACCATCCCATCCTAAGAAGGGAGTACTCTGACCCCAAACCATCACTCAGTAGCAAACAAGTGCACCAAGAGTGCCTGGTAACAATCCATTAACATTTTATGGCATGAGATGGGAGCAGTATAAAGAAACCTCAACAACTACTACTTGACTAAGTTGCCTCAGTCGTGTCTGACTCTGTGCGACCCCATAGACGGCAGCCTACCAGGCTCCTGCGTCCATGGGATTTTCCAGGCAAGAGTACTGGAGTGGGATGCCATTGCCTTCTCCGACTATTTGACTAGACTTTTTTTAAAAAAACTTAAAACTGAAAGGATATAAATATATTAAAGTCTGTATATTCATTATTTAATTAATGGTTTACCTGATTGCTTTTCTGGAGTTCTTGTACCTTCCTGGCAAATTCCTTAGCTTCTTTCTGACACTGTTGCTCTAGTTTCTCTACTTTCCTTTGAATCCTTTCATCCATTATCTGGAGCTCCTGAATATGATTTACAAATTCTTCTAACAATCTAACAAAAGAAAATTAGAATATGTATCAATCCATCTATAATTGATCACTCGGAACTGATCAGTTCACTTATAATTGTAAATAAAGCATTAGTGAGCATTCCTTGAGGTAGGGATGAACATGTTAATTTTCTCTCTAACATCATGTTAAAGATTATCTCTGATATCAATGAAAGCCTCATAGGGAATCTCCAGATTAATCCCCAGAAATGAAATCAACTTTACAGAAATAGTCAAAAGGGTAAAATGCACTATATAAACATAATACTGTGCATTCCAGGGTATGGTGAATTTTTGTTCCCCCAATTTACAGTAATTCTTAAAACAGCATACTCAACATGTTTTATTTTAGAGGTATAACCAATAATTTCTTTTTTTTTTCATTTATTTTTATTAGTTGGAGGCTAATTACTTTACAACCTTGCAGTGGTTTTTGTCATACATTGAAATGAATTAGCCATGGATTTACATGTTAGAGGTATAACCAATAATTTCTAATTTATTATTAATTGAAGAAAATATTAACAATTCTCATAATGCAATAAAATCCCTTCCCCCATATCACTTAAAGTCCTTCTCTAAAATAAAAGAAACATAAAAGGAAAAAAAAAAAATCTCAAGCTTCTAATGCTTCTTCCTTTTATTGGCCAGTTGTTAACTCCTTTTTCATGAATATTGAAAGGAATTCCAATAGTCGCCTCTATTCCAGACACAAATTTGTACTAGATTGGGTCTATGAAAAAAAAATTTTACTTCACCTTTTAGGATCAAAAGCTTCAGGTCCCCCTCTAGAACCTCCTCCCGGGGTTCTCCATACAAGACGTTCAATATACTCATCTGCCACAAAAGGCTCCTAGTTTACAAAATAAATGTTCTTTTAAAAGTTTCACATGTCATAACTTACTACTACTTACAAAAATGAAATAGGTTATACTATGTGAGAACTGAAATTAAACTACTGATTAAATATATCTAATTATTAAAATGTATAGGCTTTTTCTATTTAAAAAGGCTTCAATAAACAAATCATTTAATGAAAATTAGGATATTAAAGAGTTTGATAAGCAGGAACAAACTAATGGAAAAGTGAGCAAAGGAAACAATTTATAGAAGAAATAAAAATGGCCAAGAAACATGAAACATAAAGCTTCACTAGTAATCAAATGAGGTCAAGTTATTACTTTTTTGGGGGGCCTCACACTGGCAACGTTTTTTCTTTTTCCTTAATTACAATATCTAAATACAATATTTCCTTAATTACAATATGCAATGCAGGAGCAGTTAAGCTGAAATTCACACTCTCACTATTGTTAGAAAAGTTAAAATGTACAATATTTTTGGAGGGCAAGGAGCAACATTTTGGTAACATCAACAGGTCCAGAAATGCTCACACCGTTTAACCCAGTAATTCTACTTTTAAAATTCTAAGGGAAAAAGTAGATATGAATGCAAAATTTCTGTATTATGTATAATGCTGAAAAGTTACTTACATAAATATCAACAGAATCATTATTGAAAAATTATAGTCAATTTATAGGATAAAAATTGTTTCTATTAAAATCATGTTGTAAAAAAATTTAATGAAATGAGAAAAAATGCTCACATATAATATCTAATATTAAAATAGCAAGACAAAATTTTCTAAACTTTATAGAAAAAAAGAATTAAAAAAAAGAATATCAGAATAGAAGGCCCAATTAAGAAAATTATCATTCAAATGTTCACCATCAGCTGACAATGTGTTTTTTACACACATAATATTAACACATGAATTTACATATTTTCTATATTACGCTATTTCATATAAATAGGTATCATATATTGCCTCACACTTAGCATATAACTTATACTGATAGCATCTGTTGATGATTTCAGTTTGAATTCTTGTATCTGTAAAACTTTCCACTCTTAATCATACTTTAAAAACATATTTTCACTAATGAACATTCACTGAACAGTAAAATTTCCACGGCCAAGTAGTCTGTTAGGCGTTGGAATAAAAAGATGTATATAACACAAATGGCACCCTTCAGAAACACAGCATGAACAGGGAAAAAGTATAAAGAATACAGTAATAGTATGTGACAAGTAAAATTTAAAATTTGTGCACAAACTTCAGTACTAACATTGCTGAGTGAGTTGTTAACTCAATAGGTAGTTGAGTGATGGAAACAGGATATTTCTTAATTCAGCAAATGTTTGGTAAACAGCTACTCTTGTGTTGAGCACTGTGGCAGGCACTAAGAATATAGATGTGAATTCAATACAGAAGTCTCTGCAAGTTCTCACAGAAATGATCTTCTACTAAGGATACAAACCTTAAACAGTAATTACAGAAATAACTAATCACAATTGTGATAAATGTGGGTGAAAGAAATTCCTGAATGTTCTAAAAACAGCAACAGAGATAAAAGGAAGATGGAAATGAAAGAAGACTGGTAAAAAGTGAGTATTGCAACAGTCTTACTTTCTGAGAGCATGACACTTTAGCTGAGTCCAGAGGAAAGAAGAAAAGTCAGCCAGAAAAAAATGGAAGTTTTCCAGACCATTAGGGAAAGAGAAGATAGAGCTTAACCCATTAGAGGAAAATGGACTAGATCACAAATACCACATATGGAAGGATGTAGAAAGAAGTGACAATTAAAACCCATAGATGATAACCTGTCCTTTTATCATCATCATCATCACATTGGAATTTGAGAGAATGGCTTACCAGTCTGATGTGAGAGGAGGACTGTAAGCTTCAGTCAGAACAATAACCATTGGAAAAAGAGGAGGAACACCAACAAGAGTAACAGCTCACAAAATCATTTAACATTCACTGTGTGCAGTTAAGACCAGAGGTCCTATTTTATCCCCAGTTTATAACAAAGAAGCTGAGATTTAGAGAGGATACTTACTTGCCCAAGATAACACAAGCTGTATATGGCAGAGCTGAGATTTAAATTTGTTTCCACTGCTATATAACACTTAATAGTAACTTTGGGAAACTACAAATAGCTCCGTCTGCCTGAAGTTTAGGTGGTGAGAATAAAAGGTGAAGCTAAAAAGGTGAAAACTGCCACGTGAAGGCACATGCACATCACTGATTCCGTCTTTTAAAATTTCTCCTTATATTCATATGGCATCAAAAATACAAGCCAATAATTTTATCAAACAATTGATAAACTGTCGCATGCCTTGTGTACATAAAATCCATGATCAACTTTCAAACTGTACATATTTTAAAAGAAAAGCATATCATTTTTTATTGTTAATATCAGCTTTTGCTAAAAAATAAACATCAAGTAGCAAGAACACATAACAATATAAATATGTTTTTAAAAAAATTTAAAGACTCTTTTTTTAAAGATTCTTTTATAGTGGTCAAAATAACTGAAAAATAACAGCCACAGTAATACAGCTCTAGGAAATATAAACATCCAATATGATCAAGGCATGAAAAGCAAACAAAACAGCTAGCTACTTTTAAGAAATTCAGTTCAAACCAGATTTTAAAATGGGCAGAAGAAATGAACAGACATTTTCCCCAAGAAGACATATAGATGGCCAAAAGGCACATGAAAAGATGCTCAACATGGCTAATCTATCATCAAAAAGAAAACAAGTAACAAACAAATGATGGCCAGGATGTGAGAAAGGGAACCCTTGTACACTGTTGGTGGGGATAAAAATTGGTGCAGCCACTGTGGAAAACAGTATGGAGATCTCTCAAAAAACACAAAATAGAACTACCATGTATGTTAGTTCCTCAGTCATGTCCAACTCTTTGCCACCCCATGGTCTGTAGCCCACCAGGCTCCTCTGTCTATGAATTCTCCAGGCAAGAATACTGGAGTGGGTTGCCTTTTCCTTCTCCAGGGGAACTTCCTGACCCAGGGATCGAACCCAGGTCTCCTGCACTGCAGGTAGAATCTTTACCATCTGAGCCACCAGGGAAGCCCAGGACTACCATATGACCCAGAAATTCCATACCTGGGTATATATCTGAAAAAACAACAACAGTAATTTGTGAAGATACCTGCACCTCAATGTTGATAGCAGCATTATTTACAATTGCCAAGATATGAAAGCAACATAAGTGTCCATCAACAGGTGAATTGATAAAGAAGGTGAAGTATATAGATAGAATGAAACACTACTGAGCACATAAGAAAGGATGAAATTTTGCCATTTGCAGCCACACAAATGGCCTTGAAGGGCATTATGCTGAAAGTGAAATATATTAGACAGAGAAAGACAAATACTGTACAAAATCATTTATAATGGGAATCTAAAAAATACAACAAATTAGTGAATATAACAGAAAAGCAGCAGACTCACAGGTATAGAGAACAAACTAGTCATTACCAATGGTAGGGAAGAGGACAGTATCAGGGTGGGGTAATGGGAAGTACAAACTATTGGATGTAAGATATGCTACAAGGATGTATTATACAACATGGGGAATATGCCAATATTTTTGAATAACTGCAAATAAGTAAATAAATTCAGTTTACCCAGGTGCTGACATGATTGATGATTAAATCATAAGGATGAGTGAGACAGTCTGCAAAGTAAATATTCTGACCCTCTAAAATACAATTTACTCATTTAGCAAACATATTTATATAATCACACCTGAGTCTACCTCACTTAAGAGTTGACATGTGTAACAAATCTTAATTTAAAAGCACTAACTGAGAAACAATGACAAAGGAATTTATGCTTAGAGCTACTTAGAACTTTAGAAAGTCTGACAAACACATGAAAGACTTCTAAATAAGACGGTAATGACAGCTAATTTTTAAAAGTGTTTACTATGTGCCAAATATGTGCCTAGCACTTACAATCTTATTTAATATATACTTAACAAATCTATGAGGTAGGTTCTATTAATATAGACTAGTTGTACGCCTGAGAAATTGTGATACAAGGGGTATATTTAATCCAAGGCCACATTGGTGAGCTACAATCCACGGGGTCACAAGATTTCATTGGAGGTCTGCGTTCCAACAGACTCAGCAAATCATGATGTCAAGCAGATCCAGGAACTAGTCATCATAAGATGGAAGTAGTAACCCCAGGATCAGACATGAACAGAAGCAGAAAGCAAACTGCATAAGCAGGTAGCCCATGTTTTTCACTACTATTGTACTGCATGCTTCCCTTAATTCATATGTATGGCCTTATGGGAATCACTTAAAACCAGATGATAGAGAAGGAAAAAGCATGAGCTTGCTTCATGAAGAGTTGGCTAAGCATGTTGGTGTCAAATAAAAATGAACAGCAACTGCAATCACAACTTCCCTCAGCAGTGGCCTTAAAACTCGGTGACAAGAAAAATATCCTCCCAAAAGGCAAAGACTGGTCATCCTCATGAGTGGTCAGAAAACTGACCTAGTTAGAATATACATGGACTCATGGATAGTGGCCAAGGACCTAGCTATCAGAGGAAAAAGGACTGGAAGAAAGAGAACAGGGAAATCTGGGGTTGACGCACATGAATGGACACATGAGACTGGGCATGAAGTATGAAGATCTTAGTATCACATGTTAACATCCACAGGGAGACATTTACTATGGAAGAAGAATAAATAACCAGGTAGACAAGATGACTCTGCCACTCATCCCACTTCTGATTTTCCTCTGGAGTAAGAACCCTAAATGGAGTGCTAGAGGAGCCACCTGCCCCCTCCCCCTGCCAATGTATATGAAAACACGGAGCTTAGTGGCACAGGAGTGTTCTGCAGTGAACACAGATGTGTGGTCCAGATGTCCCGTCAAGAAGGGTCTTGCTTTAGCCGCTAGCAGTGCTGTCAGCAGAGCATTCACCTGGCAGTATTTTCAGGGATCCTTCAGCTGCACAGAGCC